CAGAATGCCCGAAAACTCGCCCAACGGCTAGTTTTTTTGCCCGAACCCGACCCACCGATTTCTAAAGTAGCCGTTGCACCCTAAATTTTTTTTAAAAAAATCAATTTTTTAACCCAAAAATTTTCTTATAAATACCCCCCATCCCCCACACATTTTTCTCACTCAAACTCTCTCAATCCCTCTCAATTTCTCTCAATCTCTCTCAATTTCTCTCATTATCTCTCAATCTCTCAAATAAACTATCACATTATCCTAAAGCTCTCTCTCTTTCAAATCGCTCTTATTTTTTTTATAATGGATCCTTTTGGTTATAGTGGTATTCCCGTTGATGCCCAACACAACGTGGAAGAATGACAATTTCCCACTAATGAATTTGTTATGCAGGAATCTACTAATCTGAGCCCTGGTGGACATACTGGAGGTCGTGGTCGCAATGGTGGTGGGCGTGGAGAAGCGGCGAGTGCCAGTGTGACTGCGTCGGGGCGACGGCGAGTGCCAGTGCGATTGCGTCTGCAAGTGTTGCAACCTCTAAAAGGAAATACAAGTGCACCTTGACAATTTGGGATCACTTCGACATAATTGAGGAGTTCGACAATGAAGGTAACACTAAACATATAGTTCAGTGTAAATATTGTTTATCTAAATTACAAGGTGACACTATTCACGGCACCATACACTTGAGAAGACACTCCGAAAAGTGTCTTCAAAAGCTTAGCCAATCCGGTGGATCCGCCAAACACAATTATCTTTTGATCGCGCAACCGGTGGTCTAACCACTTGGAAATACGATCCGCAGGTAGATCGTATGGAAGTTGCACGAATGATAGCTGCTTTAGATCAACCACTTAGTTTTGTAGAGCATCCTAATTGGCAACGATATATTAAGGTTGTACATAATCCTAATGCACAGTTCACTTCAAAAACTACTCTTAAGAAAGATTTATTAAAATTATTTAAAAAAGAAAAAGAAGCATTATAAACCTTTTACACTCGACTAACGGGTGCGTTGTGTTAACGGCATATATTTGGTCTGCCATTGCCAATAAAGATTATTTAACTGTAACTGGACATTACTTTAAAGGATTTGATTTAGATAAGAGAATATTAGGTTTTAAATGTGTTTTAGGATCACATAGTACGGATTTAATATACAATACCATTTTAAATGTAATTGATGAATTTAGATTAAGAGATAAAGTAATGGCTATAACATTAGATAATGCTAGTGCCAATACAAAAGCAATTGAGTTCTTTGAAAATGATTTAAGTTTATTCGGTGATGGTACAGTTTTCCACCAACGTTGTGTATGTCACGTAATTAATTTAATTATTAAATATGGTTTAAAAGAAATGGGTAATCACATTAAAAGAATTAGAGATAGTCTTACATGGATTCAAGGTAGTAACCAAAGACAAGAAGATTGGTTTAGGTTCTTACAAGCATTAAATATACCTCCTAGAGCATTAACGTTAGATATGCCTATAAGATGGAACTCAACTTACATAATGCTTCAACAATGCATCCCCTATAAAGATGTTATAACAAACTATATGTATGTAAAAGTAGGAGTAAATCATATAGATGCATATGATTGGTAAATTGTTGAAGTTTTGTATTAATTTTTAGGTAGGTTTCATGAAGTGACTCTAAAACTTAGTGGAACATATTATCCAACAGCACCTTTAGCTTTAGGAGAGCTTTTACGAATTAGTATTTTATTTAACGAATATAGGGAGGACCCAATCTTAGCAGTTCCTATCCATTCAATGGAAAAGAAATTTATAAAATATTGGTCTAAGTTGCATTTGTTGTATGGTTTAGGTACTATTTTTGATCCTAGATTAAAATTAGAAGGTTTAGAAAGTAGTTTAGAAAACTTTGGTGAATTTTTAGGCATCAATTGTTCAGACCAATATCCAATAATAAAGGAAAAAATATTTTCGATCTATAGTAAATATGATATTATGTTTAGAGTACCTCCTAGAGTACAGGAACCGCAACAACAAGACGAAAACCCACATTCATTCTTGAATGTTTT